AGCTTTCAGTATGTATAAAACACACTCTGCAGTGAAAGCCCTATCATAATGTCAAAAATGGAAAGCGTTGGCTATATACTCGGTCACACCTTCTAAATATATATTTTGTTCTAACATATATTTGTGATTTAAAAAAAAAATGTTCATGTAGTTTTCACATTTGATGATGCAATTAAAAGGGAATAGATAATAAAGAATAAAAACCTTGTTTACAAGGATGTAGAAGCACACAAGCTGAAAAGCATGACATATTATTTAACCACCTTCTTTTGTATTATTTGAAAAGAAATTTTATTGCCATATTTCAATGCAAATTAATCAAATTGCAACCATATGTCTGTACTAGGTTCAACTTTCCATGCATTTACAAGTTCTACCTTTACCGTTTGCTTCATAAACTTATTTATGAAAATTTTAGTCCATGATCTTTGCAAGTCACTTCATTGAGGCCTCCATTTTTTTATCCATTAAGATTCAAGTGATGTCATGGCTAGCGTACTACCTGAAGTTCAATCATCTTATATGTGCTATTGGTTTTTGCCAATACACACACACACATATATATATAGGCCATGACCTTGACAAAAAAGTATCAATTTCCATTTCCTTTTTAGACTATAAAACTTAATATAGTTTTCTTAGATATAGATTTTCATTTCATGTTTCCATCCCTTCCACATAATCTACATCTTTTAGTTTTATATTGTACTTTGACATGTTTTTATCTTGATTTGACAGCGTATAAACACCCTGTTCTAATTTTAGACACTGAAGAGCACTTCCATTACAATTTTTAGTAACGGAAAAGCACTTTTATTAGCAACCGACTTAAGAATTTTTTGAAGTGAATTATTTACTGAATAAGATATTTCTTAAATTTAATAGAAAAATTTTGGCCAAGTTTTACTTAAGCAAGTTTTTGAATATGACTTAAGGTCAAAATAAAAAAATTCTTAGCTACAATTTTTTTTTCAACTTCTGTTTTAACTTAAGAAATAACTTAAAATCAGTTGTGAATACGGCCCCAGAACAAAATTACACAACTCATATTTTGTTTTCCATGTTTATATGGAAACAGTGTTTACATAACAAGTACATAGATGAAATAGCTCGAATTGTCAGTAATTTACTTATAATGTTCAGGGTATAAACAGTTGGAGACATAAAGTTATTGGGGTTCAAAACTGGGTTTATCTATGACAAAAATATTACCAAGCACTGTAAGTTACGTTTTTGTTATTTATCCATATGAAATTCATTCTCATTTGCTTGTCCTCTACACGCCGTAAACCTTAAGAAAAGGCAAAGTATTTTACAGATACAAAAATATCATATGTCTGATTTAAAACTAATAAACGTTTTTATAAAGTTTTTTTTTATTCTATATGGACAGTTTATTGTGAATGGATATCAAAAGCAAACACCATGTTGATTCATTTGCCCCTGATTTCGAGTATGCATTTTCATGCTTTGCGTTATATGATATTAAATTTGACCGCGAACAGTACGATGAGAGGCTTAAGTAGTTAGGTTCGAGTGTACGATTTCATTGTTTTTTTCGAATCTATCAGCATGCAGTATGTATTATTTTCCCTTCCGCTAATTAGTTGTCATTTTTTGGAATGCTTAGGTATTTCCCAATGATTTTCATATTTTAAAAATGAAATACAAATTTTTTATCATTTTTGTTTGTCATAATACCGTTTTCGTATTTTGCGTAATTCACCTATTACTATAGATACGTGAAGAAGGCTTAAAATGTTTCAATATATCTAATACCAGAATATTAATTTCCAATCATCAGAATGTATTACATTTGTTTGTTTTTGTGACACATGTAGTCATATACATGAGATTAAAGTTAGGACAGTGAGGATTAACAAAATCTGCAGATTCTATTTAACATAGAACATCTAATGACGCTGCTTTAAATTGAAAAATAAATAAATTTACGTTCAACCAATTCATTTTAAGTTTTCATTGCAACAATAGTAAATGTCCTATGAAAACTAAGACAGGAATTTTGTAAATTTAGCATTTAAGTAACAGTCCAACAATCCTGACATAATGTGAAGAAGTTACCAATGTGGGCTCCATTCCACCTTGGATAATCAGCGTATAATAGAATATAACTCACGCGCACGCGCAAACACACGCGCGCGCATACACACAATCGCATCCGCACACACACTTAGAGTTGAAAAGGAAAACAAATAGATAATAACATGATAACAGCACGTTTTAAGTGAAAAAGTTACCAATAAGTGCTCCATTCGAATATGGATCATCAGCGTAGCTTATATCAAACAAGGGCATCCGAAACGCTAAACTTCGAAGTAAGTATTGGACATAATTCATTTCTTTTCTTGATGCAATTGTCACAAGATGTTCATTGCCATTATGGCAATGACGGTTTGCACTATCCCAGCTGCTGCCGATTTTTGCGAATACCGTGTAGCATTTTCGAAAAACCATTGAACAAGCTTAAATTGAAGAAAAAAAATCATGTTCAATTAAACAATAATTGAATTGAACTTTTATGCAATATTTAATAGCACCGTTTTGTAAAGAAATATGTAAAAAAAGATACTATTAGAACGACATGTGGGGTAGAATTGTTTTTAAATAAATGCGTTAATCATTTTGATCAATTTTAAATTTTAACTATTATTTCAACCGCGAAAAAAAGGAAATTACATCACATCAGATATTTGCCATGTACATAACTATCTGTCGTCAAAAAAGTAAGAAGATTTCCGTTAAAAACCGATAAATAAGCATGTTTTGTATAGATAAAAACAAATCCTCTATAAACAAGTATATTTAATTTATCTTACATACCTGATAAGTTCCTTGGAACATTACTCTCATCCACTAAAGTATATGTAGAATATCTTTGAAGAGAATGGTTCGACATTTTATAATGTATCCTAAATCCGTAAGGGAGCCTGTTATTTTGTATTTGAATATCAATCTCAGTCCATTTTGATTTGTATTTCTTGTAAAACTCTAAGTAATAACAATTTATTTTGATCTTACGATCAACATCCGTGATGACGAGGTCTAATGAATAATCTGCAAGAATGTAATAACAGATGCTTTGTTACACGGGACAGATTACTCAGAAATTACCACAAAAATGAGAGCTGCAAATCGCAAAACATTTTGCAAGTATGCTAATGAAAAAACGGTGTGTGTTGGCTTGAATTGAAAACAATATAAAGGTTTTTAGCTTGCAGTTTATTGTGTTATTTTAATAACTATGACATCATTTCTTTAATCTGCGAATGACGAAACAACGACAAATAACTATTGTATTCGAAATACCGGTGGGGACATATCAACCTCACGAGTTTCCGATTACATCTTCGTGATTTCACAATTCTAACTTTTACGATTTCACTATTTCAACGTTCAGATTGGTTTATACGTCACAGATTCATGATTTCAATTTCATTAATTCATATTTTGACATCACGATTTCACTTTTATTAATTTCTCTTATTTGGCTTATCATTTTAAAATATTATAAATATGAAAAAATACAAAATAACATGATTCACCGTAAACGCAAAATAGGAGACAGCACATGTACTATCTAATCATCAACCGCAAATGTTAATTTATTGCTGTATAGCCAAAATTATGGTAGAATTTACTTTGAACAGTAGAGTACTAAAATATGACAAACAAGATCTACATGGAACTAAAGACATGATATATGATGAAATTGTGATGGTAAATACACGAGTGTAAACCATATCGAATATGGTCTAAATGCAAACCGAGTGTTATAAAAAAATATAGTTCAATATACATTTTCGGTTTTTGTCTATATGCTACAGACTATGTGGATATATGGATGTTTTACATGCTTTGTGCACAGACCATCAATTTGCAATTGACGTGTTAATACATCCCTGAAATATTACATTGAGTTAAAGCTTTCCTTTTTTATGTCATTTTGTCAAATGTCTGACTTATGTTAGAACATACTTTTTCTTTCCTCTTTTAGCAAATAGGCAATTTAGAAGTAAACCTTCATTTGTTATTTAAATATACGTAATTCGTATTTGCAAGAATACAGAATTTCGAATTTTAGATATATACAGACTTGTTATAAAAATTCCGTATAGATGTAAAATACGGACTTCGTACATCAAAGTCCCCGTTTATTACGAGTGAACGGATTACCGTATACGGAATTTCGTGCACTTCCGTATATCCATAAATTATATTTTTCGCAGTGTAAATCGCCATAAAAATACCAAAATCAACCTAGCCTATATTGTCAAGAAATGCCTCTGACTTAGGCATAATTAGACGTTTGCACACTGCATAATAAATCTTCGAATCAATCCCTTTTTACTTGTAAAATTTAAGTTGATACGTATTATCATTTTTTTTGTACATTGCAGATGTTCTTTCTAAAATGACTTTTAAATATGAGTGGGCAACAGTCGACTGAAAAATGCATTACGGTAATAAAAGAAATTGCGATTAATTATACCCTTAGCTTTGGTTCCCTGTTCAAATTTGGTTCCCGACATAAGAATGAGGATTGGGTAATTGACATGCAATTCATCAGGTTAATAAAAAACGATAAAAATATAGTTAAATTAAACGTTTATTTCAATTCTTAAAAGCTCAATGACATATTAAACATCAGAAAAGCTATTTTATATGAGAATCTGTAAACATTGCAATTTGTTACAAAAAAATAACCAAAGCAAGAATAAAATTTTCCCCATTGCTGAATCGACGAAATCATTGCTACGTGCATGTGGCGGATAATGAAAGTGCCAAGTCAAATAAATATCCGACACATATGATTGTCAGGTGTCAACAGTATCATTACATTACAATATATACCTCAAGGAATCCGTCAAATGACATTATATAAGCTCGAGTTTATTATTTCTAGAATTAAAATTTATCTGAAGTTGTTAAAGATTTGAATATACTTACAATCAAAATATGCACAAGTTGGTTCAATAGATATGAAGGTTAGATCAATGCTTTGATGTTTTCCGGCTTGAATTGTGAACACTTCTTCACAATGCTGACACAGATTCAAAGCCGAAAGAGACGTAAGGATCATGGTTGGCTCAGTGCAAATTTCCTTTCGTCTTTTAGTTCTTCTAGATTGGCTAAGTGAATCGATTGAAAGACAGGCTGGGGTTTCTTGAATGAAATATTTATGCCATGTATTCTTAATGACAATAATAATTAATAAACATTTTCACACTATGACATTGGCATGGTAAACTTTGTATAATTAAATGTATAATAATAGAACAGAACACGAGTTAGTTAGAATTGGATTTTAAGCGCAATGGGTTGTAAGAAAGGTTATCGTTATTTATATATTAAACACAAGAAAATCGGTCAAAATGTAATATCTATAAGGTTTTCTTTTCGTACTGTATGTAAAAATATTTTGTAAAATAACAATTTTCATCAGATCTAAGATAAGCATTCTATGATTAAATGACTTGAAAACGGGCAAACCCGCCATCTTTCATTTGGTAGATACACAAATAGGAAACAAACATATAGTTCGAAAAGACGTTACAAACTTAAATTTTTTATTGACATATTTTTCTTATAGAAGCACACATATGTTGTTTATCTGTGTTCATAACGGTCATGCTTTGTCCGAAACACATTCAATAAGATGTAGCAAATTAACAAAAAAAAATAACGCAATTTACAAAAGGTGTAGAAATGACTTTAGAAATCAAGGTGGTACTTGAAAAGGACCAATCGGTAGCATGCCTAACATTTTACACCTTATTTTTAGATTTAAAAAAATATGCCATTACACTTGGTGTAGTTCATACTGTATAAATAAGATAAAAAAATTGAAAAATAAACTATGCAAAAGTTTTATAAGATAACAAAACTGCAAGGTTATCATGTTTAATTTCAATCAAAATGAAATTGAAATATTTACTGTTATATACAATTATATTAATGTATACCTTCAGCAGTAATGATTGCCCGGTATTTTATTACTGGCGGCCATACTGTTTTCAGAATGGTTGTTAAAAATAGCAAGCTTTTGTTTGTTTCTATAACGAATATTTCGTTGTTGAAATCGTCACCAATGATAAATTCTTTGTTGTCAATGTGCGATGTTTTAACAACGAGTGCACACTGCGAGAAAAATTCAATGTTATATTAAAACTCTGAAACAAAGTGAGTACATCAGCTATAAACTATCATGCCATAATGGAACTTCAGAACATATTCAGATATGGTAAACATTTTTGACGAAAATGAAGATAAGAAATGTTTTTAATTTCAAAGGTAATCATGGCAAGAGATAGTAACGGATAAAAGTTTTATCTTATGAATGCTTAAAAAAATCTTAAATTTTCATTTGAAAAAAAAAAAAAACGTGAAAAAAGTGAAATTTTATTCAAAATGTATAAGAAATATTTTTTTCGTATACTATAGTTCACATGCATCACATATAAACACATGCTCTTCTGTCCGTACTAATTCCTGCTCTTCATCTACGCATTCGTCAATTAACAGTTTATAACTGGACCTCTTTACCATTTGAGGCATTTTTTTCTTATCTTCAATTTTTACTACTCCTTTGGACTAATAAACTCGTAACAGTAGGATATTAGTAATTTGATTTCTTTTTATGCAACGAAATAACAAACAACCAAAAACCAATAATTTAATGAAAAAAGCTTCTCTAGGTTTGCATTTTTAGACTACTGATGAATACACCATAATTCAGTCTATGAATTAGAAGTATTGTCCATGTGTCAACCAAATACAGAATGGACTTATAGTTCAGTGGCGGAAAAGTCTAAAATGTTTAACGCCAAAGATACAGGCAACCAATAGAAAGCTGTAAATGGCCTACGTAAACCAGAAACTAAAATCAAAGTATGAAAAAAGATTTATAAAGGTCAACTTAATTCAACCCTACAATTAAACTATTTGTAGTTAAAAATAAACAAAAAAATATTTGAATGAACTAGAGTATTTTGATTTATTTAAAGAATATTATAATGTATACCAGAGATCACGTGTGTCACATTCATATAAGCACATTTATTCAGAACAAATATGAAAGTTTGGCATCAACAAATACAATCAAAATAATTGTATCTATCCATATGTTAGCAAAATAACCATAACAGTGTTCAAATTCACCATTACGCACAACCCACTACAAACCCATGGCCATGAAAAACAAACAAAACTATAACAAATACAAGTATCGAAAAACATACAAATCTACTAAGAGGCTTCCTTTATACCTCCTTAGTAGCATAACCTGCAAGAAAGATCAGTATCAGCTTGCAAGAATGAGTCTTTCGTGTGAAACAGTGTGTTTCTGGCATAAACCTTAAGCATATAAATCATTTAATACATTGTTCACGTTAACATAAAATACAATTAAAAAGCTGTACAGCAACTTTACACCTAAAGCAGAAATAAATACAATAGAATAATCCCATTAACAGGTTTCTTTATATCCTCCGCAGCAAATCAATTTTAATGCTGGCCATTACCAACTTGCAAGATTAAGCCTTTCCCGAGAAACTACATGTCTAACGGAAAGACATAATGACAGTCACCAAATTTCAACAGAAACACGAACAATTTGACGATTTTAATAAAAAAAAATCAACTTAAATGCAAACTAAAGATTTCAATATACATGAAATTTTCAGCTTCTAGACAATATGCACCGTTCCCACACAAATTTCTTAAGTGTGTAATAGTGTTTATGATATCCTATAAGCTCATAAAACCTTTAAGATTAAGCTGTAAACCACTATCCTTTTTTGCACAATACTCACGATGGGGAATTCAAGAACTAAAAAAATACTTAGAAGTTCTAATAAAAGATTTATTTCTAGAATGTCATAATATCAATTAATTGTTAAATTTTAGTTAAATCAAAATCTATAGGACAAGGAATAATAGCAGACACAAAAATGCTAGCAGAAGATTGATGACAATCATTGGAAATTATTATCAGCCGGAAGAATATCATCCATTAAACCACGTCAAGTTACATCATTTTTACACAAACATGTTATATGATTAAAACAGATCTAAGATCCACTTGACATTGAGAAATTCTATAACTAAATTGAGTACTTCAAATCTCTGAAACATGTTGTCTATAGATGTACTCTTTCCTTCTTCAAGTGTAGAAGGAACCACATTTGATTTGTGTGCTAGTAGCAAACAAAAGAAAGAGACTTCGCCTGGCTGGGGCAACGGTTGACTTTTTTTTACTTTTTCGTTATGCAAACAAATAATCGTTTGAACATTTTTTTTCTCAAACAATTAAGAATTTGTTTCCCTTTTCCGTTTTTCCTTATTAATAGTTTGTCTAGTCTCACTTGATGTTTTGTCCGAGTATGAATACTTTCCATGAATAAATATAATCCAAATTCAATCATTTCATGATCAATGTCTTTTAAAGGTCAATATCATATCTAAGTAATTAAACTTTTCTGATAAGTCACAAATGTTGTATTGTCTTCTTATGAATCAAATCCGTATATAAATAACACAATTTTGACAACTTAACCAAAATTCAATAAATTGACATTGACAATCATGGCCATTTTAATCTCAAGGTCATGGTCAGGTTAACCTTTCAAAAAGTCTTTTCCGACAGTTTGTTTGTCCAAGTATGAAAATAATCCATTGTCTAATTACCAAATAACACCTGATTGAAGCAATTTTCAGTATTCACCATCGAGATCAATGTCATACATGAGTCAAAGTCAATTTGAGTCTGTTTATTAAACATGACGGTCCTGACCTACATAATGTTGTGTTTTAAAAAGTTAATTCATTCTTTAACAACAAAGTTATAGCCTGTTACTAGAAATAACAAGAATTTTGTGGCAATTTTTGTTTTGTCCGCATAAATTATAACATTATGACAAGTTATCCAACATTTACTCATTTGACCTGACTGTCAGGGTCATTTTAAGGTCAAAGTCAGTACAACATTTCAGAAGGTCCTGTCCAAAATGTTGTTTTGACAAAGTATTAATGCCAAACATTTAGTTTTTTACCAAGTTCCAGTCAATTATCGATAATAAATATGAAACATTTAAAGTCAAATTAAAAACGTCATGGTCAATTTTAGTTTAACAGAATTGTAGACTTATCCAAAAGAATTCTATAATAATTCTCTAATATGAAGTCAATTCATTTTTAATAACTAAGTATTAGCTAGTTACAGCTAAAACTAAATTAAAATCAATAAATGTTATTCAAGGCAAGGCCATTAATGAGTGAAGGTCATGGTCTGTCTGATTAACTTAAAGGCTTATCCTAAATGCTTATTTTGATGAAATGTAAAGAAATCCAATTAAAAAACATGAGCAATTCATATGCGTGGCAATATATGACCGAATGCAAAGTTGTTTAACATCGAGGATACCCATTTATAACATTTGTTCAAAACATTTTTTCAATTATTAATAATTTGATCTATATTGATACATGCCAAAGAGCTATGCTCTTGTCACATGAATACTAAGTGACAATTTTATACGTCACAGTTTTCCTTTGTGGAGTACAGACTCCAGACATGCCACCAGTTATGCTCTTATAAAGCTAATTTTGAAGCAGAGTGGTGATAATTAATCTCCATGCAATTGTCAACGAGTTTATATACTGACTGTGAACAACAATATTGTTGGTTTTTTAAATGATTAAAATTTAAAGTAACATATGAAATGTATTATGGGCCCAAACTATTATGCCTAGAAAATCATAAAAAATCAAAATGCTATGCTTACAAAAAAGTTTCGACTTTTCATCTCCCTTTACATCTATAACAACGATTCACAAACATCCATCACAAAACTGATAATTCTACTTATACAAAGTGGTGATACATGCTAAAAATCTATGCTCTGCATGTTGAATGTTGGAGGAAAAGACTTTTAAAACATGTTAACTATATAATTCTGTGTACATATAAACTGTGCTAGACCTACCCATCCCCACGTACCCATTGGGCACAGCCAAGTTTTAATGTAAGTGAAATGATTGTTAAAAAAATATCAGGGTTCTAATGCCAATTAACTGAGACCTTTAAATAAAAATACATATGAAAATAAGTTTTTCTATTAGCGTGACCCCTGGTACAGGACCAATATTGACCCCAGGAGCATGATTTATATAAATTTTGTAGAAGTCAACAATGGATGCATCATGCAATATATCTAAGCGTATAATAAATGTAATATATTTGGGCAAATGACAATAAATAATGACCTTCTATGATTATAAGCTTTTGAATTTCAGCAATTCAAAAATGCAGTGGGCTAAACTTCCTATGAACATATATCAGTCTTTTAATTAGATAGAGACTGCCCACAATATAGCAAAACTGTATTCATGTCCAAAGTTTTGATAAATTTCCTAAAAAATTGACATTTTATATGCCTCGTTTACAGCTTATTGCTATTTAGTGAATTAAAATATCTTAAGAAACATCAGATTCAATTAATGAGATTGTCTCATTTACAAATAATTTAATCATATAAACCTATAAAAGCTCAATATTTATTATAGTCTTAACAGAAAAAAAATCTTAATACAAAAACAACAACAAAAACAAAACAAAAATAAACATTATAAAGTAGCAGATTTTGGAAAATAAAGGAAGGTAACTATATATATAAACAAATCTAAAAATATAACGTTTAATAAAAAAACAAACATTACAAAGTAATAGATTTTGGAAAAATAAAGGAAGGTTAATATATATTAGGAGGAAACATATTAATAAATTCATACATTGTAATCTCCCATTGTAATATATACACTAATATAAGGAGTTTGAAGTGTGACCTTGACCTTGACATGCGGTAGTACAAAACTGCGCTCTGCACATCATCATAGTAATATGAATATTTCTGCACAATAAATTTGATTTCATACTATCGATTTAAAAGAAAAAGCGCGGAAAATGCGAATAAGTGTGACCTTGACCTTGACCTGAGAAAAATCAAAGCTACGCTTTGTAAATCTTCTCATTATGGTTATCATTTCTGCTGATTAGTTTCATTTTTTTTTCCCAGTTCCAAAATACAGACCGGACTAGAACACCTGCTAACATACGGACGTACGAACAACCATGTGCATAGCAATATATGCCGGAATTATTTCAGGCGCATAATAAGTTATAGCCACTCATAAGAAAAACAGCAAAATAAAACAAAATATAGACATTTTACATTGACAGTCAAGGTCATTTATGAATGAAGATAAAGGTTAGTCTAATTAAGTTAAAGGTCTCGTCCCAATGGTTAAAATGGCCAAGAAGGAAGACAATAACCAATATCTCAAACAGTTCTAACCAAGGTACAAGTTTGCGGATGGCATCGGCAAAGCAACGCCGACATGACTGTAACAATACCTCTATATTTTGTTGTTCGTTTCTTCTTGTTGTTTTTTCTTCTTCAAAACAAAGACAAGCTGACCACCATACAAAAGCGTTTAAAGGCCAACAAATTTTGGTAAGAAAAAAGAGAAGTATAGTTTTAATTTTGACCTTTCATTTTGTAAATTCCATGCAGGGTGAATTGTAACCAAAAAGTATTAATTTCATTCAAAAATAATCCTAGTAACTGATGTATACTTTCAACACCATTTAAATAGTTGCAAATACTAGATACAGTTTGAAATGAATGACCGAGAAATTGAGAATGTAATTAAATAATCTCAGTAGTTGCGGGTAACAACATCAATCTAGATACATACAAAATAATATAAATGATTCTCATAGATGCATATGCTGTAATATTAAACAATTTTAAATCTAAATTTGGTGTCTTTAGTTGTAGATCTGCAAAACAAATCAGAGACCGAAATAAACAAAACAACATTAACAAAACAAAAATCATTTTGTAACACCTCGCAATTATATTATCTAATTAAAACCTTTTTTTTAAACTTTAAACATCCTTTATTGTGCTGATACCAACGAGCCAACCAATCAGAGATGCGAGTTTCCAAACTAGAAAAATGATCGGCTCTTATTTCACATGAAGCTATGGCAGGAAAAAATGTATTTTCTCAAACCGTGTTGCAGAATTGAAAATCTAACATTGCTAGGATTCTAAACTTAAACACAGCAAAAAAGACAATTAATTCCATACATTTGATGTAGACCAAAGTCTTGAAGTAAGAATAATGCAAAGTTACTCAAGACTAGCTATCAAAAAATATTTCAAATATCTCAAGGGAAATTTGAATATAAATATATCAGTTTAAAAATACTATTTGTAAGATAAACTTCCGTTGAAAAAAAGTTTTTATCAAGCAAGATATATGCAACTTAGAATACAAAACCAGCACTTTACAAATATCTATAAATCTCATTTGGATTATCCTTAGCACTAAAATGATTCTTATATTACAACGAATCAATGTAATCAAAATGAAAACCTTTACAACAAAACTTAGTATAGGAAAACTATTTTTCAAAAGACCGTAAGCTATCAAATCCCTATAATATGAACCAAACATGCGTCTCAAAACATCAGTATTATCATTAGCCTGTACTCTGCAGCCTATATTTTTAAAGATAGAAACTCTATTATATTCATGCAAAAATCAAGCAACAAAAGGATATCTTTTTAATTGAAGAAAATCCTGGACATGAGGAGGATAATTATAAAATTTTTTGAGTCTGCTAATAGAATGATAAACACCTGCTTGGTCGTACTCGAAAAGCCACACAATTAAATTTTCAAATAAGAGATTGTATGTTTCCGAGTATTGCCTATCGTATAAATAACCATATTAAAAGCAAAATTTCATTTTTTCTACACTCAGAGGCACTTATAGCCCAATACTTATTTTTTCGGTAGAAATTGATTATTTGCGGACGGATTTTGTTCAACTTTTGATCCAAAGACTATTCAACATATAATGTGTATTGCTTAGAATTTTATTTACAATTCATTGGCAAAAAGACTAAAAAAATAACTAAATGACTGTAAATATTATTGAATTGTAAATATAATTTAAGTAGTAAATCTGATATGGTGAAATTTGTATAGTCAAAATTTGAACAAACTCTGTCCACACATAACCTATTTATACTGAAAACTGTAAGTGTCGGGTTGTAAGTGCCTCTGAGCGCATACATTCGGACGTAACCTCCAAAGTCCTAGATTTTGTGTTGAACAGTACACTAAAGAAAGTCATTACTTCTGAAGCTGGTCAAGATTTATCAACTGGTTCATTATAACAACATTCATTTAAGACTCAAGATAATTGAGTTAAATAGACAACAAATTAAAACATAAAGAAAGTCTATTGCATTTGTAACTCTTTGACAAATCTTTGAGAACAATATCACAAAATGTTTTTTCCGAAAAAAAGGTGCATATTGTCATTGCCAGTAACTTATAAAGTGATTAAAATCCTGAATTCGAGGAAAATCTAAATCAACAAATTCACAAAATCGTTCACAATAGAAATCATTCACAGCGTGACCTTTGTGCAAATTCAAATCTAGAATAATCAGTTTTACATCAGTATATTTTTATGAAACAGACTATTGACTATGAAGTAAAAGTTTTTTTCCAAAGGACCTTGAAAACAAAAACCAGCACTTTCATTACAAATTATTTATAAATCTTATTTGGATAATCATTAGCTCCAGAATGATTAATATATTTTTCAAAAATCAAGGGGAATAAAAACTTATACAACAATACCAATAGGAGAACCTTTTTTCAAAAAATCACAAGCTATCAAATCCCTATAATATAAACTTAGCGTGGAAACATCAGAATTATCATTAGCCTGTATTATGCAACCTTTATAATTTTAAAGACTTGGTTGACATACCTTCCCATGATAAACTTCATAAAAAATAGACAATTATATTTTTTGACGTTACAAATGTTACATATCAAACTGAATGCATACAAACAATATGTTCAATAATTGAATTATCAAAAGCATTAACATGATGATTTTTATTTTGTTTTAATGATCCACAATATTGTAATCAATGTTCATATTTCTTTTTATTTGATCAAATCCATCATAAAGTTTAGTGAGGAATACGGACAAGAGCTTGGACGCTCAGGACTTTAATACAACATGCTGCACAAATAAGTTGTGTTAATCAAACAATGTCCTTAATAACATAAATATAAGGGGATTCTGTTTTCATTCTAAAATTAAATATTTCTAAAAAATGACTACAAAAATCTTTTTTTTTTTCAGTATCTGATCTGCTCTTTACAGTTTTAGATTTTTTGTTAACATGACTTGATTAAATTGCTGTTTCAACATATTTATATGAATCTCCCCATTTTAGATGACTTAATTCACTCTCCCGTAACGTAGCTGCATACAAACTCTTAACAACAACAAAGTCGTAAGAAGAAGAATTATACATTACTTTCTTTATTATTAAAGTCTAGACGAACAATCAAAAGCATAAAGTGGGTGGGGGCGAAATAATTTTAAATTCCCCCGCAACATATAAATCATATTCTAATTTGCTAAATGTAACTGAACCAGTAAGGTATCATAAGAAACGTCTGAAGAACACGAATCATTAAACACCTTTTTTAATACCATTTTAGTTACATTTATCAAGTAGTCGTTACCACAGGAGTCTGCATCAGACCAGGAAAACTATTTAAACCAATTTTGATAAATTGTCTAGTAGACGTCAACTTCATTCAACCTTGTAAATGTGTTCTTTTCAGTTCGAAATAACATAATAAATCAATAAAATTGGCCAGTCTTAAGAATTTCAGTTACATAATACAACAAACGAATTTTTCCATTCAAATCATTGACTTTAAAACAGAACCGTGTTAGTGTTTTCATTTTGCACTAAATTTAAGGGTTAAGTTATAGTGATTATACGCGAAAAGACGATATGCTGCCTAAGGGGAGCTGTAGCGCTCTTACGTGCCTTAGTTGAAATTAAAAAAAATCAATAATAAATATATGTCTAAGGCTAACATGTATAAGAATATTCATAATGTAGTTGGCGCCGCCATTTTGAAAATCTTAGACTGGTTTTATATTTGAGCAATATTAGATTTTAGAAGCTTTTGAAGGAATCATTTAAAAAAGGCGACTGCTGATAGAAAACGCAACGGTCTATTGTCCTAAATAAAAAGTATAATACAGTAAATATAACCTTTGGTAAGAACTAAGGAAACGATTATAAGCATTAAAAATAACTTATTAATATTCAGTTTGATAAAAACCCTTAAAAAACGTAAAAACATTACCTCTGATTTGAGATTAACAAAGTGGCTGACGAGATATTTGGAAACACTCAAATACTTTGATGATAGGCTGAACACCATTTATTCATTCGTGCCTTATTAACTGTACAAAATAGCTACATGTACTCATCTTTTACAAAGTCTAGGGATCTTGCTTATTAATAAAAAAAATGCTTGCGAGGGCTTACTGTGTCAAAGATAGCACCTTATTTTGTATAATAAATGCATGCATACCTCTGATAAAGAGACGTTTGTGAAAACCAATTTGGCAAATTGATTTGGTTTGAAGTTTACAATCCACTGTAGATCACTGTCCAAAATTGTCCTGAATGGGTAACTTAAGGACGTAATAATGGAGTCTTTTTCTACGTATTGTACGTGACCAAAGAACAATCCATCTTTGCGTTTAGCTCTCGGGAACGACATCATTATTCCTGTGTAAAATATAAAAACATAGCCTAAAAATAAGCTTATATGGAGGCTCATATGCCTGATTGATAGGATTTCTCATGACTTGCATAATAAAGACAATCTTAAGACAAGTTTAGCAAAGCATAAAGGTCCAATGTATTACATTAAATGGAGAACATAAGTTTTAGTATTTGTCTTTATAACCTATAATGGAAAGAAGCCGGAATCAAGCAATCGAAGGAAAAGTAAAATTTGTAAAATTTGACCGCAACTTGAGCAAAATTCTTAAATTGTGAACTACTTTAATTCGGAATTTCATACAGTATATTCTGATCAGTCCAAATAGTTATACAGTATATTTTTAAAAATAAAACGTAGATTACATTTATACTAAACTTGCTTCAATAATGGGAAGAAATTGTTAGGAAACATTTATTCAAATTGTGTTCACAACTTTTTCATTCATAAGGCTCATGTTGAAATCATTAACTAAGATCTAAAATATGCAAAAATCAATTCTAATACCAGTAATACAGTTCTGGTAATTATAACACTGATATTTCATGCTGAATTATCTAGGTCACACCTGTATTTTACAAGAAGCTATGCTCTTATACTTATACCTCATAAGCGTATGAAAAAAATAGCTGTACTGTTGAAAAAAGACTTTATTACGAAATGTTAACATACCAATGTTTTGTAGTTTGGCGAAACATTGTCCATCATCGGTAATCTTCTTACTTTTCCATAATCCAAAAGGACTATACATGTAGTGATTACACATTCCGACTGGTTCGATTGATCCATTTGGTCCATGATGTTCGTTATCCTCTTCTATAGTTTTGTAAGACAAAGTTTTAAAACTGGCAACACTACAACTTTTCTGAATACTACAAAGTTCGATACATCTTGTAAGATTCGTATTCAAGACAGTTGAATCTCCAGATAACAATTCATATTCGAGAGGTAGCATTTCAGATGATTCGATGCTGCTGATGTCAGTTATACCTGTTGAATGAGAGATAATATATATCATAACAAATATATTAATAATTAAAGAATTTCTTTACTCGCACTTTGTTACAATCTATCAATGGTTAATACGAAACAAACATACATTCCTTAATTGTTAACTTACGTGTCAGTTTACAGCCAAACAACTTGAAATTTAAACATCTTGATTTGCTTGTTGGCTTTTCAAATGAATGTTTGAACTTTGCGTATCTTCCATTGATTGGTCTCGGCAGAATGAACACTTGATTTCTTTTCCAAAAGTTTTCAGGTGGGAATATTCTAAATTCCTGAAATAATGAACCACCAATACACGTGTTTCTACATTTATTTTGTTTCATTCTTCGAGTTAATTGTACGTATCAACATTCTTTTTGACAACGGCTTGGTTTTAATAATGCAATATTTCTGATTTATTAAGTTTAAAACCAGTCTATAAATATAAATACCAAGATAAACTATCAGAACTGCAATAAGAATTTCTTAAACTTTATAAGTAGGGCTAAAATATAAAGTTAAAGGGTGTATGTGTGTTGTGATGTACACATGTATTACATCCAAACAAAAGAACAAAGGACACAATCGCTTGAATTGAAGTAATATTACTATTGTTATCTAACAATGCAAACGTCAAGCAATTGATGTAACATTACATACTACATAATACTGCCAATAAGTGGCAAGTTTAATCTTTCCTGTGTTGCTATCGCAGTAAGGACTATTTCTGCATATTCTGATCTAATTATTGGAATTTTTCGTAGATTTTAAGTGCTGTTTTCTATGTGTAAAATACTTCCTTAGTACACTTGATACTAAGTTTCTTTAAAAAAAAAACATTTTTTAGTTTCATGAAAGTTACTATGGATCGGGAGGCATGCTGCTTTAAAATGTATACTTATGTTTTGTTGGTTTGTTTTTGTTTTTTAGATATTTTTAGACAAACGAGTATACCATGTCTTTGTATGCCTGTAATGTATCCTTATTGTTGCCGAAATAAAAACTGAAAGTGGTCCACATGTCACAGTCTTTCGAAACGTAAACACCAACTCCTTCTATTGTTGTAACATCAATTAAATCCACCTAAATTGATAAAGATTATTTGTACTTAAATTGTTGAAATGTGTCTGAATTATCTTTAATTTACAAATAAGGTATCTGAACAATACGAATGTACTCACTTTTTTAAGTCGCAGAAGAATGGTGCAAATACATCAGAAAAATACCAATTGTTCAAACACATTACCTCGTGCTTACACACTTTAGACAACTGAGCCAAAGAAGCGATCACCTTGATTGTACTTCGAGCTATGAAGAGTGTGCATTCAACCGTAACAATGTTTAATTATTGTCTAACGTTTGTAAAAAGTACTGCGATGAACAAGTTTAAAATGTTTCAAGTTTGTTTAAAAAGTTGTGACGTGTTTTGAAATCTCATACACGCTCATTATGAAATAGAATCACTAAAATTATAAAGTTAGAACTTTTAACATCTGCACAGATCTTAATTTTTCTAAAAAAAAACCCCAGATATTTGCGATATTTCCACCAATCATCTCCTTATTATCAAAACCGGAAAGAGATTTTATTATATAGATAACATATTTATAACAATTCCTTCCTACATGAATTTTCCCTACATGTTATAAGCTAGTATAACTAAAATATTTATTATCCTTAAACTTCACAGAAAGACACGTTTTACTAAATCAATAAGTTGGAAAAAGTAAAGTAAAACCTTTTCTTTTAATAGAGGATACAAATTGCCATGCCAATCTGGATTACTATTATTCATATGCATACACATAAAAGAAATAGCTCCAGTATAGATAAGATACTGACAAACACTTAATGACTTATAATTTTACTTACATGTATACAAAGATAAGAAATCTATTTTTTCTAGTCAAGTAAAGATGCGGGAAGAATGGTTTCTCAATGCTTCCAAATTGAAAATGTTAAAATGTTTTAATACTTACATGCAAAAAAAAATACTCTTTGAAAATACTCGTTAAAGTATTGATGAATGTATTATCGTTTTTCTTTTATGAGAGAATTCATCTTGACATGAATTATACAAACCAAAATCCAAGGTCTCAGATCTGTAGCATCATGAATCCAACCAGTAAAAATAGTGTTTGTATTTGTAGATATTTGTTCTGTGGTTCCAGAAGAAACAGTGATCTGAGTGTTTGGTACCTGTTTGTCGTCTATTTCAATACTTTCAAAACATGGCTCACCATTTTCTACAGACAAAGCATCTAAAGTCTTACACAAACAAATACAAATTCAAACATATCGTAAAAAGGTTTGCAACCGGTAAAATAATGATTTGTAATGTATAATTAATGAAAGATCATTGAAAATCGAGTATTGATTGCAAAATGACATTCAAGTGATATATTCAGATTCCATAATAACGCCGGTGTTCCATATTATAGTAGAAGTAACCAGTATTCTTTGAGGTTTCTAAGTCTAAGAATATCATATTGCCAAAAGGCTTTTCAATCAGTAATTGAAAACGTAATAGAAAACAAATAACTCATCGGCGGCTTTGCCACACCAGACTGGCAATGTAAGAAATGCTGACTGCACGGGTCGAACCTCGCAAGAAGTGTCTGTTAGCAAGAAACTAAACACTCGTTGTTAAGTACTGGTTGGTTCCAGGAACGGTATCCAGATTGTTTCAATACAGTTATAGCTTCCAAAAAGCTTCCAAAAAGATCGAACTAAACTAGACTGAATTTCGTAAAACTAAAATAAACTTAATAATAGTTTATTCTCATATAAGAATATTCAAATATTAAAAATAATCTCAACAAGTCAGCAGCTTTATGGATATTTTGCTATGTTTTAGTTTACATGTTAAAATACTAATTTTTATCGAATTTGTAGAAATTATAATTGGTGAATTATTAACTATTTTTCAGAGTTTATTCTATTAAGCTTCGTGGAGATTACTTACGTGCTTCTATACTCGATATGTACACCTGAAATGACATGTTTCCTGTTATGTCTGCCTTCAATCCAAATGTAAAAAAGCGACCTCGTGTTCTCCTGCAATTTAATAGTTCAATTTACATTTAAGTTCAATATCCATAGAATACAAAGACAATATAGAAGAATATAGTTAAGAAGCGTATTTTAAAGATATTTAAAGAGAGGTTACGATCCCTTATTAAAAAAAGAACAATACACCTTGTCAGATAAATCAAAATAGTTAAAAAGTGTATTTTAAAGATATTTAAAGGGATTTTACGATCTCTTATTCAAAGGTATATAACAATAGACAATTTGTTGACTCTTACATCCGTTCATATCTAGGCTACAATTGCTTCATATATATTGCTAGACTGCTCTGTGGTTTTAATATATGGTGCTGTGGTTTTAAAAGTTGATGATATCATTTTGGTTAATGGAGCTGTCATTTTGATAGATGTCATATCTTAAATATCTCTGATAACATGCCAACACACTTCTATGGAAAATATGCAATCTTCCTTCATCAAGTATATGAACACTTTGATTGATTTCACAAGGAAAAGCATCGCACAATGAAGTTTAAATACAGCAGCAATTAGGCTTGCGACGAAAATCATGCGTATGAAACTTGTCATATTTGAACAATGATTTCTCAAATATCACTTGGCGGAAACCACAATTTTAACATGACTCCTGACTTTGTTCTTTAACACAAAGAAAACGTTACCAGTGTTAAGCTGTCAAATAGAATAGATTGTGGATTACATGTAAATGGAACTGTTTTTTTCTAATACCACTAGGATGGTTAGACGGAGCCTTAATAATTTCCGTTCTTATAATGACGCCAAAACTACACCAAGCATACAATTACGCGACAGGTTTTAACCATATCAGCTAAATTGACTTATATTAAAAAAATCTACAGCAATTCACGAGCTGGAATTGACGTCAGTCTAAGTACACAATTATTCATAGCGGTGCCATAATGACATATTTTCAAGTGACATGGGTGGAGAATTAATATAAATTTATCGGTCACCGTAATAAAAATCAAAACAATCAGATATGATTCGTATGCTTGAATAAGTGAAATAGTACTTATTCATAGCGGTGCCATAATGACATATTTTCAAGTGACATGGGTGGAGAATTAATATAAATTTATCGGTCACCGTAATAAAAATCAAAACAATCAGGTATGATTCGTATGCTTGAATAAGTGAAAATAGTACTGCACAATTCGAATATCGGCAGAGGAAATAATATCCGTTTAAAATACTGTAAATTATATTTTGTGTTGCTCTTATCAAAAATAAAATCGTCTGACCGGTTAACAGCAAATTGTTGTTTTAATGCCTACAGTATTCGTGGTTAATTCATATGCATCAAAACTCCAAATCATAGATAAACATATTGTTTCTTAGATGAAACATTTGGTACTATTATAGTCATAATATCAAATACATCCTTAATTACACTATGGTAATGATGTATGCTGTATTCATCACTGTAATACAGTAGATATATCAGTGACAAAACATTGACTATTTCCATACTTTTTCCCAGGACTTAATTCGTTTTACCGAAATATTTATTCGTTATTACGAAATATAAATTCATTTTTACGAACTATTTATTCGTTATTACGAAATATTAATTCGTAATTACAAAATATTTTATTCGTCTTAACGAAATATTAATTCTTTTAAATTTTTCGAAATTATAATTCTGAACAATTGTTTGTTTTTACGAATTATAAATCTTATTGAAGGTCAAAAGTAATTGTGAGCATTTTCAAAACACCTCCTAACATGACAATCAAAATTAACACCGAGTTTAAGGATTATAAGCCTAATGGCTCTCACATTGTTATAAAGGTATTTGTTTGAACAGGGTTTTTGAATGAGAAGTCATTCTCAATCTAAGATATTCTCTGTTTTCTCTTTTTTCAAATGCATATTCCCAACAGCTGCCAAAAAATTATTATAGAGACATTTCATCTTTTCTGACATATTTCTTTTAGAAACGAAACAGACTATATTATTACTTTCTTTTATCATACACATTAGTAAAACCGGCCTCCAGATTTTCACTAAAATATATTTCTATTTTAAATTTTTACTTAAATCTTTATCAAACTTAGTGTGTTTGAGGTTTTAAATAAATTTAAAAGCTTATTTCATTTTTATTGGTTAATATTTATTTTGTAACTTATGCTTTGTATTGGTTGTATTATATGAGTTTCTGTGGGAATGAGTATTGCATCTGTTTATTTTGTTTTTTCTTCTGCATTTTAAGAGTGTTTGTATTTGCAAATTTTGTGTACATGAAATTGAAATGGTAAACTCCAGGTAAAATAAACTAAGTACGTATTTCGAGTATATTTCTTCTCTGCACTATATTTCTATTTTTAACTTGTAGACTTAACAATACACGTTGAAGAGATAAAACATATAATGTAGTGGATTGTGATTAGCACCATATGCTGGCGACTTTACATGTTGTGGTCTTATTTGGTCTATGCTTATAATGATTTCAGGTTTGACATGTAAATTGAATGAAATATTTACAAGCATGCACTTGGTATTTAGACCACAAGATACTTGAATGACTAGGCGTGCTAATAATATATCGATAGTTCTGTTACTAAGCCTATTTGATATATACTTGTGAATAATTTTTTTGATTATTTAGTAATCAGTTGATTTAATGTATGTTTAGGTCACGTGTATCCTTCCAGGTTACATTGCAAGTGCTTTTGACGACAAGGATTGATTGTAAAAAGGATTGATTGATTACAAGAGTGTCAGCCATCTTGTGTGTCCTTGTTACATTTTGTGAACTGCCAAAGAGTATCATCATGATGTAATATCACGCTCTGTTGAAATGAACTAATGAAAACGTTTTAAAATTAGCCTGTAAGTCTTAAAACTTTAAGTTAAATGTCTAATAAAGATAAAACGTGCCTATGATGTATACAAACATGAAATGAATGGTGTCATTTTTACCAATAAAGTAAGATAGAAATTACCTTAGGTATACTTTTCCAGGAAGAGTGGTAGTTTCTGTGTTACAAACCGAAGAGTCCTCAAAATTCCCAGGAACATCATTGACAAAACATTTAAAATATGTATCTCCCTGAATAATATCATTCCTGTTTCATATCTGATTGAATAAGACTTTAAACATTATGCAATCAACAGACTAATAAATGTTAAATGCATTAAGGTTCTATGAATTTCAAAACATTGATCTTTATTTTTATTTTCTTCATTCGGTGCTTTAACCTTCTGCACACGAGTTTTTTCGTTGTTATTTCATTTAACAATTTACTGAATGTCAGAGCAAGTGTAAAAAATCCTTATATCAAAATGAAGGTGTTGTTTTATTATTATTGTTAAAAGCTACGTTTTACGGTTCTATAGTCTAAATGGTCTTTATAAATAAGGTAAAATCACACAGTTTGCACACAATATATATGAAGAAAAGTCCTTAAATCTATTTAATTTTTTTACCATTCACTAACTTCAACATAGGATTAGATACACAATTCTTAAAAATATCATAATATAAACGTGCATTTGAAACTTCCCAGAGCACGTGCATGTTATACCTCTTTAATTCTTTATAAATATATGATGTTGGGTTGCTTAATATCTCGTAAACGTCGCCTAGTCTGCTGACGTCATTTAATTTGACCAAATTCACACGTTAACAAAAATGTGATTTGCGCAGCGAACAATTACAAAGTTTTGTGCGAATCTCTATTGACGAAATCGACCATACAGATACATTTAGTAATGTATCGCCAGCACTTGCTTACAAGTGTCATGATCATAAACAAGACAGTGGTCAGAAAGCCAGAGGGAAACAAATATATGGGAAATTGGTTTGCATTTATTTTAGAGAAAAATCTTACGATCTGCTGAAGGAGTGAATTAACGCTAAATACAGCATATCATTTTGTGATATTTTCGTCATCAACGGCCGTTTTTTTTTTCGTTCACAGAATTAATATAGACAAATTCAACATAACACGCGCGGTACATGCCTCGTATGTTGTTTTTATTTTTAAAGAAGATAAATTAACAAGTGAAGATAACTGAATTGTTTTAATACTTTAGGATGTCATCTAGTATGGAGTAATCGAACAGTACGACACTGAGGTCAATGTCCCCGATGCTAAACATATTTTAATACGTTTACGTATTAAAATCAGCCTTTATTAATTGACTTGTGTGTTACTTATTCAGTAGTTAATTTTCTGACTGGTGTCTTATCCCCGATTTACCTCTGGATTTTGCTTTTTACACCTAAAATAGGAAATATATGGACGATAGGCTTAGTCAAATAGAAAAATGAAGCCCGCCAACATTGAATTCAACAGGGAACTTGCAATGTAATATTCCAATATTATATTTTTCGACCAGTCTTTGGATAACACCACTTTCAGCGTTTTGATTGTCGTGGATAGTTCATCAAAATAATTTGAAGTCGATAAGGCCGCTTGACATAGGTAGCTTCCCCATCGTTGTTACGGCATTTATATAATAGTTAAACGCCATTTTTGCACTTTTTAATGAAATTTTAAATAACTGTTTAAATGGTATGTATAACTACATACTTGAAAATGTATCGGCAGCTTTGTATCTTAATGGTTATAAAATTTGTCACGGAGAATGTGGCACATTAACAAACGAACTTATCCAATATTATTTTAATCAATTCATCTTCAATAAGAGGGATATAACGAATCTTGAAAGTGGCCGTCTAACAAAAAGGTTTGGGCCTTGTCAGAAAAAACAGGTATTCAAACATATTGCATTGGCTATAGTTAGTATATAAAACATACTCACCAAATTTGTAGACTTGATGTCAATCATAACTACCTCAAGTAAACGCAGACAGTCAATGTAATACCATTCAAAATCTATATCTGAAATAAATCAAACAACACTTTACATACAGTTTTCGATCTGACATTATGCTAAATGTGCCTATAAAAGGAAACACACTTCTATTAGAACTTTATGAGTATTTTTACAGCCTGTGCTTATTTCGTCAAAATCTCAGAATAAAGATTGGTATTGGATTAAAGTTCAGTAACACATATAAGGACCGTTACACATGTTATAACACCTGAAAAAAAATCATGTATGTCTTCAAGACATGAAGATGAAATCTTACCTTGATGCAGTTCGTAGAGGGTTTGTTGATTTAGAATCAACTCTGCAATTCAAAAACAAGAATGGCTATGCTTAGCAAGATTAAAGATGATATATATAAATGATTTGAATTATGAATCTTAATAGTGTCTTATTTTTTATTATAATTACCATAACAGTATTCTGTAGTATAATATTTTTTTGCATCATATTGTTTTGATCTGATCTGAAATGTCTGGATAATTATCTTTATCAAAATACTACACAGAATGGATGATTGCAAAGGTAATACTTTATTTACTCTGAAAATAATAGTTCAAAAGAGAGCTTATATTTAAGATTTGATAATGGTGCTTGATATCTGACAATATTAAATCATGTGATACTGAAAATACTTTAAGCACGATGTATAAGATAACGACATACCTGTCATACCATACGTTTCATAATCAAAGTTTTGGACTGGAAACAATAAAAAATACTTTTGAACCGATAGTATGTAAATCATGAATATATTTTCGTTTCAAATTATGGTGAAAAACATATCACATACAGGTTTGCCCATACCCGTTTTTCAATTTATATCAAACTTTAGACTATTCATAAATAGCGTTATAGAAACAGTCTGTGGAGAAGTATGCAACGGCTGATCGATGGGTCAAAACTTTTATGTTCATAATGTATCATCTCGTCTATTTATATCTATTAAAATCTGTCAGCAATTAAACTATATGTTTGATTTCTGCTGGAAGTCGCGACAAACTTAGTGTTTCAAAATTCCCTCAAAAATTGTAAACAATAAATGAAAATTCAGAAAATAGAAACGGTTTAAAAAAAGACTGCCGCTGTCATTTCGTAAATACCCATGCATACCACTTTGTCAGAATCAACAGTGGTCATTTAGAGCTCAAGGACACTCTCCCTGACAATCTCTGGTTACTAAGCCAGTGCATTGCTAAGTTATGTATTCTGTTTGTGTGTTTGTTTTGTTAGAATTAATAAATTTCATAAAAACAAAATAGCGACATTTCATTAACAATTAGGTTTCATATCGACGCCAGATCTTATTTTGGTGTTCAGACAACCAAATTGAGTTTTATAAGCATAAAATCTGCAACGTCATTGTGGCGAAATCGGTAGTACAATCTCTGTTTGTATGAGAAACTCCGCCTTCGGATCATCCGTACATTAATATTAAATTTACAAATTAGCATTCCTAATTTAACGGTATATTTCCGCATTGTAATGGATGTTTTCATACAAATTTAAATCTTTTAATGGTATGATTTTTTTCTGAACGGCAAGCCTAGTGCATCGTGAAGCTTAAACGGTTAAAGTGTGTCTGCTTTAGAAATCTCATATTTGATGTGTCCGTATTCCAAATTTAACACTGTGTCGTAAATCTTACACAAGCTGATTATAGTTAAAATTCGTATACGAACTTTAGTGTGATCGTGTTTTTTACGTTAAAATTGTTATGTACGAACAATATTTGATGAAATAAAGAATTTATAATTTATTTATTTCATTTCCAACAGGCTAATAAGCCCATGAGGACAACATATTACAAACATACTATATATGACATGACAGAGTAATGCATGATAATGATACTAATACATCTCTTTTTCAATTATTTGAAATATAGGAGAAGGTTGAAAACTCAACCTTAAAAATAAACAACAATGCTGTTAAAAAGATTTATTAAACTGTAGTATTCTTGCTTTTTAGGCCGAGGGTTAAATATTTTTATATATTTATTTAATGCTACTTTAACGTCATATCGACACAGTATAGGTCATATCGCGGTGTTCCAGCTTTACTGGTGGAGGAATACTTCAGGTGCCCTTCCGTGCATTATTTCAGGCACGGAACGGGCACCTTAATAATTATGTATTCTACATGCTTCAAATGTGAATACGTCAAAATCAATACACTGCCGACAGTATAGTTAAAATCCATGTGACCTTGACATTTGACAAAGTAACCTAAAACAATAGGGGTCATCTGCTTATCATAATCAACCTCAATACCAAATGAGAAGACTGTTGACAAAATCATTCTTAAGACATTGAGGGAAAAAGCTTTTTTCTAGTCAAGGCCCTTGTGACATTGACCTTTGACCCAGTGACCTCAAAATCAATAGCGGTCACCTTAAGGTTATAATCAAACTCCATGCATAATATGAAGACAGTGGGTTAAAGGTTGTTTAAGTTATTGGGCGGATTCAAAGTCCCCGTGACCTTGACCTTTGACTCAGTGACCTCAAAATTTATAGCTGTCATCTACGAATCATGAATAACCTCCAAGCCAAATATGAAGACTGTGGGTCAAAGGAATCTTTAGTTATTTGGCGGACAAGCTTCTATAGTCAAGGCCCCTGTGACCTTGAACTTTAACCTAGTTACCTAAAAATCAACAGTAGTCATCTATTAATCATGAATAACCTTCATGCCAAACATGAAGACTGTGGGTTAAAGGAATCTTAAGTTATTGGGCGGACAAGCTTTTACAGTCAAGGCCCCTGTGACCTTGAACTTTAACCTAGTGACCTAAAAATCAATAGTAGTCATCTCTTAATCATGACTAACCTCCATGCCAAACTTGAAGACTGTGAGTTAAAGGACTCTTAAGTTATTGGGCGGACAATCGTCTTATAGTCAATGCTCCTGTTACCTTGACCTTTAACCTGTTAACCTTTAAATTATAAGGAATCATCTACTAATCATTACCAATTTAAATAACAAATATGAAGACTCTGGATCAAAGAAAGCTTAATTTATTGGGCGGACAAGGAAAACTCGACGGACGACCGGGCAAAGTGGCAAAAAGAAACACATGAAATTTAGTGCATAAATATAAAAAAATGAATTTGAAGGGAAGTTTACATCCTGATTATGACAGATTCATGTCATTAATAAGCTTATTTAACAAATTAATTCAAATAACTGTTTTATGCATTATTTTGTAACAATTGGAAACAGACTATGATGATTGTATATGCATTTCAATTTGAAAGGGTCGTCTATATTTAATAGATTCGTGGACAAAGTCTATAATGGCAAATAATAAAGTAATGTGACTATGTGAGAAAATTAAAATCACATTAATTTTATACCAATACTTTTTCACTACTGCTTTTTCATATACTTTAAAATTGACACTTTTTGACATTTACAAAACTATAAAACATTTACACTGTCTGAATATAGATTACAGAATAAAAAAGATTAGATCATATTTGTGTCTCCCTATTATCTATAATAAATTATATTTTATAATGCAACTTATTCTGCACTCCTTACACTTGAAATAAGATTTTATCATATAGGATTTTATATAAATAACAGAAAGTAAACTCTGTCATGGAGTAACTGGGGTAAAATTTATATCACTATCTTCAAGCAATGATTTACGCACCAATTTATAGCTAACCTATTTCACACTACATTCATATAATAGACTTGCCAAACATTGAATTATGGATTAGCCTACTGTTTATTTAAGTGATTTCAAATCAAGAAACTTATATGGCTTGGTAAGACGGTAGAGATGTACAGAAATATGGTTTGACATGGAATGGTATAGTATGATATGGGTATGGTATATTATATTATGTTATGTTTTCTTATGTTATGTTATGTTATGATATGTTATGTTATGTTATGTTATGATATGTTATGATAAGATAAGATATTATATGTTATGTTATGTTATATTATGTTATGTAATGTAAATATGTATTTCAGGCTTTATGAGGGTTCCATCCACCCTTTCTGGTACTGGGAGTACGGACCCCGGACACGTTTCCATTCATGTCATAATTAATGACTGGTTAAATAATGAGTAAGCTATGCCAACTGGTGAAGACGGTAATACCAATATAGATGCACATATTTCAGCTTATTCAAGTGAGGATGTTAGTACTTTAAATCTTGAGCAAGTAATCATTGAGACACATCGACATGTTAAAGGTTTAAATGTAAAATTTGACAATTTTAGAAAAGATCTTAATTCGCTAAAGGCATCAAATGCAAAATTGCAAGAAGAAAATAAAATTTTAACAAATACAGTCTCAGATTTAACGGCTAAAATTGCATCCATGGAGACAAAAGTCGATAATGCAAATGAACGGTGTGAACACCTTGAAGCTCAGAGTCGTCGAGAAAATTTACTTTTCTTTAGGTTTCGACAAGAAAGCCATGAATCATGGGATGAGTCTGAAGCTAAAGTAAGAAATTACATATCGAATAATCTTGAGATTGACGGAACCACTATTGAGCTTGAACGTGCACATCGCTTGACAAAAAAGTAACCTCTCCTATAATTGTTAAGTTTAACAAATTCAAAGATAAAGATCTAATTCTACAAAAATACCGCCAAGTCCGAAAGTCCAAATCACGCAGCAGCGATCAACTAGATTATGACGATATTCGAGTATCTGAAGACTTTACATCGCATACTAGGAAAATCAGGTCCAAACTTATTCCGTATATCGACATCTTCAAGAAGCAGAACAAAAGATCGTTTATTAGATATGATAAGCTGATTGTGGACGGTGTACCTTATATCTTTGACTTTGACAAGGATGATATTGTTCCCGAGAAATAGGACAGTGGCCAAGGTCTGAATAATAAACTGCCACATTTGAATATTGGACATGATGTTACAAATTCTGGTTTTGACGTAAATTTTCATGCTATGAAATTAGGTGTGTGGAATATTTCTGGTTTATCATCAAAATTGTCTGGAAGAAACGATATTTGTGATTCAACAGATTTTGTTGATTATATTAAGTCATTTAGCATTATTGGTTTTGTAGAAACTTGGGCTAAGAATTATGGTGAGTTTTCATTAACTGGGTATACATGTTTTGATGTTATTAGACCATTAACTAAAAATGCAAAACGAAATTCAGGTGGAATATCTGTTTTTGTAAAAAATATTATATTTCAGTATGCAGAAATTAGACAATTAAGATCCTCTAGTCACAATATTTTATGGCTACTTGTTAAATCTAAAGTTAATATTTTTCATAATATGCTATTAGGTTTTGTTTATATTTCTCCAGAAAATTCGTCCATACATTCGAATGAGGCATTGTTTGATATCATTGAAAACGAGCTTGCTATTTTCAAAAGTGACTATCCGGGTCATTCCATTTTTGTTTTAGGTAATTTTAATGCATATACATCCGAAAACCCTGATTATATTGCTATGGATGGTGAATTTCCATTGTTAAGTGATACTTTTTATATTGAAGATACTATTCTGCCACCTAGAGCTAATTCTGATGGTAAATCTATAGATAATTACGGCCAAAAATTGCTTCAGCTTTGTATTGCTACTGGGCTTCGTATATGTAATGGCAGAATCGGTAACGATGCTGGCAAAGGTTGTTGTACTTGTTATACTGATTATTCTCCTAGTCTTATTGATTA